CTTTTTCTTCTCCCTCTCTTTGTTTCCAGGTGTTAAATGATACCGAATCTTCTACTGACAAAGATAAAATAGCAGGCCTCCTGACAGAAACGTTCTCCTCAATGAAGAAAGAATTGGACTCTCTGAAGGATGCAGAAGAGCTTCCAAAAGACAAGGAGGCGCTGGCGAAGCCACAAGATAACACTAGCCCACTGAATGAGGGATGTGCTGCCAATCTACCAAGTCCCAAGAGTCTGGGAGATGAGCAGACACTAGCTTTGTTGGAACAGTACTCGGAGCTATTGCTGCAAGCTGTGGAACGACGCATGGACAAAAAACTCTAAGAGGGGTGGCTTTCAGGTGTTTGTGTATACACAGACATAATTGCAAGAAGAGGACCACTGAGAGAGCTTCAGACCAATGCTTCCATCACCTGGTCTAGGGCTGGTGGGGATACCTTTACAAATTGATTTCCTCAGGCTCCAACAACTGACTTGTTCCAATTCTTAGCAATGTGCTGGCCACAGTTTTAGTATTTGTTCCCCAATGGTCTTCAACTTCCTGTCTCTAAACAAAGTATCAAAAGAGGAGTTTGGAGAAATTGCTGTGAAATTTCTTCATAGCCAGGAGGTCAGGATGTTTGACACCTAAAAATACAAAGAAAATCCAGTTTATCCAAGAAATTCTGAACTGCTGACTAAAAGCAAAGGAGTCCAAGTGAAGCCAATCTTTTCCTCTCCAAGGCTTCATGGGAATCAAGAATCAGACTTCTTGTGGGTTTATTTATTAATTTATTTCTCTTGACTGTTGCTCTATGCCACATTTGTGGCTGTTATCTTTGTCCTTTAAARAAACTGTCAATCCCTTTGCCATATCCCAGCGAGAAACAATCTCTGTATTATAACCCCCCCAAGAGGGAGACAGGCTGGAGTKTCTGTGCAATTAATGAACTGTTCTCTGCTTAGATCTTGTCTTGCTGTTCTTGCTTTTCCTGCCTTAGTTTTGTTCCCTTCAGTAATCCTGCTGTTGTTATGACGACCCTATCTGCTTTCCTCTTGTGTCAAGACAGTCCCCACACTGTATTTTATCTGCATTTGCCTCCAGGGAAAGGCTCTGTATCCCTTGGGCCATGCTTTGGAGATTACTTTGTGAATTCATTAATGGTATTTTTAATCTGGACTTTGATGTTACCTTGATACTTCAGACTGGATTTTCTGCAGACATTTAAAAGATTTGATTTAGATACAATACAAATGTTTGTTTCAGCCACCTGTCATGATTAGGAATTGGATATTGATTTTGATGTTGTTATGATTTATTTGTGGAGAAGTGACACAGAAAAGTTGTTTTCCATCTCTTGCAGTGTAACTCTGGATTTGAGAGCTCTTCAGTGCCATTGCTCATGTATGTCATTTGTTCATTTCACTGTGATAGGAAAATGTTTTCTCCTTGCCTTTACAGGAAAACAGAATATTTACATCCCAAGAAAGCTGGGATTCTCTTACCTTTTGTAAAGCTATTTCAACTCTCCACAGAAAATTATTTCCTAAGAACTTCAAATGAGAGATTTTGGGATGTGATTACCATTTCCTCTGCCTCCAGCCCCTTTGCTTTTCATGAATTTCTGGTCTGAGAAACAGAAAATCTTCTCTTCTTGCATTTGTATGTGCAATATTTTTCTCACCTGTGGAGCTTCTCTAAACCCATGCTAACGTGTGTCTGTTGTGGCTTAAAATTGTCCAGTGTTTTTTTTTTTTAGTTCAATTATAAGCTAAGAAAAAAAATTTTAAACCAATGAAAATCTTCAGCACCTTCCCCCTTACTCCCACTCCTTTCAACAACAGGGGCAAATACACAAAATGTTTTATTTCTTCCATCTCCGGTCTGTCTTGAAGTTATTTTAAGGCAGAGCAGTATAATCCCAGTACCTAAAACTAATGCAAGCAACAAGTCTCTCTCTTTGGTGGGAGAGAGACTGCTGACATCTGTGAAAGTCAGTCAGAGGCAGCCAGACTGCATCACTTGATTTCACAGGTTACAGGGTGGAAGCAGTTTTCTTCCATTTAGTTATTCTGGCTGCTGTCTCTCTGAAACCCTGTGGCACTTGGAAATGTGGTCTGTTGACTTCTCTGTCTTACTGTGGCTGCAGATGTGCAGTGCAACCTTTTTCTACTGGTCTGGCCAGACTGGCATAGGATGCACTGTTTCTTCTGAGTAACTTTAGGGCTGAATAATCTGCAGTTCTGTCTCTCCCCYAACAGGTTTGCTGCCTGATCACTGCCGAGTGCTTCAGGATATGGCAGTTCAGGGGAACACTTTGAGAGTTTTCCAGCCTGTAATTGAAATCTGTCTAATCATGTTTCAGGTGTCCTTGCTAACCTTTCCTTCCATGGGCTTGTTCTGAAACTTTAAAGTGTTATTTTCTAGTCCTGTCTCTGCACTGTACCGTGCTGCACATCAGCTGCTGTGCTTGGTCCCATGGGCAGCTTCTCTTGCACAGACGGGTTTTGCAAAGGAAGGCAAGTTGGAAACCAGAGAGGAAATTTCTGGCAGTTTCTTTGAGTGAAAAGATGAGCTGGAGCTGCCACGTGTGGAATGTGTGATGACAGTCATGTTGGGTTTGTGATGGGAGTTAGTGTGGGTCAAGCTTGCTTTTGAGGTGACCAGTTCCTCCACTTTCAGACTGTGAACATATGTCCCAGTATACATGAAATTTCTTGCTGTACTGGGACCGCAAGACACTCAGGAAAAATAGCAGTCCCTTGAACCCAGTTATATTTTGGTACTGTTGATAACGGTTTGAGGGTTCTTTATATGACTTCCTTGTGCAATTTTATACCACTTTATTATTTAAACTTCGAGGTAGTGACAAAAAGGTCAGAGATGATACAGAAGAGTCAGTGGCAAGAATGAAATTCCCATGAAAGTAAAGGGCAATTACCAGTGAAGAGATACTTCATAGAGATRCTAAACATAGAGATACAAAACAAAGCTCCTTGGAAATACGTTGTATGAAGCAAGTCTGATTTTTAAGCTGATCAGAGTGGGTTTTGTTTCCTGGAGTCATGGCTGCATACAGGAAACCAGGGGTAAAATCTGATCAGAATGATGGCAAGAAAAGTGTCGGGCAAGTAGATCAGTTGGAGCATGGTTGTGTAGTTTAAAATAAATTTAGAATAGTATATGTAGGAGACTCAGGAAAACAGAGTAGATGTAGAGATGGTCTTGGTCTGAAGAACACCATTTGGCCAATACCTGTGAATGATATAGTACCAAAAGGCTTCAGGAAAGTGATACAGGACTTGGAGATGGTGATCTKTAATTAAAGAAGGAATTGGAGGGAGTTTGTTTTTAAATATGTTCCATTGAGCCTCTTGCTTCTTCTCTTGCTGTTCTCTAAGCAACTATTTTTTTCTTAAATGGCAAAGTCATGAGCTGTTTGTTCAAGGCTTTGGTGTTTTGAATTAAGTAGTAGAAGCCCAGTAAAGGACATGCTGGTGCCACAAGTTTGTTGCTGAGAGGGGTGAGGAGATAGTGTTGCTCTTGATAATTTAAGACTGCTCCAACTAATTCTTCCCTGCTAACTTCCTATTGCTGGCAGTAGGAAATATTCCTAAAACTTCTAGTTTACAGAACCAAGAGAGCATAAATGCTTTGCATTTGCACCTTGTGAATATGTTTCACCACAGGCTGTCATTTGGGCCGGTAGAGAAACAATGAATGGTAATTGCCTGGGAAGTGAAGAGGTTTGTCAGAGGAGGTAATCAATTTGAGTTTGTCCCTCTTAATGGTTTGTGATCCCTCTCATTGGTTTGTGTGGGTGTTAGCATAGGCACAGCAAGATACCTGTATTAAGATACTTGTTTAACATTAAAACTGAAAAAATAATTTGGACCTACTTATTATCTTTACATATATTTCCTACCCCTCCAACCCAACATTCCTGCTTAAAATGAGAAGTTTTAGATTTCTTTTCCATCTTGTAAATAGTGCTGCTTTGCCTGTGGAACCTCTCAGTTTGTTCTAGGGCTCTTTGTGCCGGGAAGGTAGGAAAGGCTTCAATCTGAGAGGGCAGCAAACTGTTCTATTTCCTGTTCTGTTTGCCTCAGCAGCACCCAGGAGCTGTTGTGTGTGGGAGCCCGCATTTCTTCCATCTCCTCTCAGGTTGTCCTCTCTTTTCCATGTGACCTCCCAGGTGATGAGGGCATGGCCTCAGAGCAGCCCCTCGCCCYCAGCCTCCCCTTTTTGCAGACTTCATCATGACTCAGAGGAATTGGGACGTTTCTTTCCGGGAGTAGAAACATACCAACTTAATTTTTTAAGAGAACGAATATGTATATAATTATATATAGGGGGAAAAAAATGAAATGCAGGTATTTAAACATCCTTGGTAAATTCATGCATGTACACAGTGTCTTCCCCCCACCCCGCYGGATGTGTATCATCCAGGACACTGAATGACAAAAAACCTCATCGAAATGGTAGACAGGTCTTCTAGCAGCCCCCCGAGAGAGTAGGTGCATCCTTCTCTGCTTCAGCTCGGCGTGTCCCGTGTGTCACCCGGCGCGGCTGGGGCTGTGTTCGGAACAAGCCATGTCCGCGCCGCGTGTCCTTCCTGCGCCCTCCTCACCCCTGTTCCCCGGCACTGCCCTTTTCCTTCACCCCTTTAAAACACAAAAACCCCCTTCCTGCTTTATTTATAAATGTGTGTTTTTATACTTTTGGCTTTAGGTAAAATAATACTTTTTTTTAATTATTATTTGGGAAAAAATTAAAAATTCCGTTTGTTGGGTTTTGTTTTTGTTGGTATTTTTCTTT